GACTGCTAGAAAACCTACCGCCATTGAGGCACTGAGGTGTGAGGTCCTACCCCACCCGTCGTCCGTTCTGCACTGCGGGACAAAGTTCTCAAAGATCCATTGATAACACCAGATCTATCTGTCACTCCTTTGACTGATGAGAATCAAAGCCGACAAAAGTCACGAAGTTCTGGTATCGTCGCTATGGTACGATCTTGTCACGAACTGCCTTTATCGTCACCCAAGTATAAAGTCTCTGTCGCCCAACGTCAATTGCAAACGGCTCAGTGGCAGCGAGTTCTATTCTAACAACTGAATTCGTCTATCAATTTGGCGCCGTGCTATGTCAGCTTTTGGGTCCTATTGTCTGCTGTTTATGTGCTTGACTGTGGGATGTTCAAATCGGACCCTGGATGCGTATTAAAAAGGTTGCAATGCTATCGCTTCGGCACTCGCTATTTCGGAGCTGCCTGGTCAAAGGTCACAGATTGACACTTCAACTTGACAGTGGCCTTGGTTGTGGAGGAACAAGTGCTCGGACACTAAGTGCAATGGTGAGTGCGTTGAGGAAAGGGCTATTGTCAGGCGGGGACATATTTTACTCCCGTGATTAGCAAAAACGCTCGTGTTATATCCGATCCGGTCAGCTTAAAACTCAGCTCTTTCAGAGCTTCGACATCCTCAAAACCAGGCGATTTCCGTGTGCTCATTCAAACCTTCTGTAGAATTAATCTAAAAATAAGAGTGTTTCGCGATAGCCGGCTCTCCTGCCGGCTCTGCGGTGGTCGGCGCCACCGTAACAGCCTCTGGCACGGACAGAAACATCCTGCGGTTGCTGGCACTGTCCTGAACTGGCGCTGCTGGCACCGGCACCGGCGGTCACCGCGCCGCCAGCGACGACGGCAGCGACGGCCAGCGAGGGCCGGAAGACGCGCCGCCAGCCCCCGTATCTCGCATCTCATCTTGGCGGCTCGACGGCTCAGCGTTGGACGAGTTGGCGACTCGTCGTGGAGCGGGGGGCGGGGGAGGGGGGAGCGTGACGAGGAAGCGAGGCCCTTCGGTCCCGCACCGAGTGTCACGAGTTTCGGTTTGATGTGACACTGACGGCGTGTTCCGAAGAACGGAGCGCGGTGAGGTGTTTAGCCTGTTCGCGGCCGCTTCAAACGCTGCTTCAAAGCCGGCACCCGAGCTAGCAGAGTGTTTGGGGAGGCGAGACAGGCATTTAGTACGGAGAAGTGAGATAGGATGCCTGGAGAAACGTGGTACGGAGAAGGGGGCCCCGTGGTATGTTGCTGAGGAAGATTTCCAGCTCACTTGGGGAATATCTGAAATGACTCGTGTCTAGGTGCGTGTCGTGTTTCGCCTTTTGCCCTCATTTCTGGACTACAATGGTCCACATAAGGCTGCTTTGCGTAAAGATTGTTATCTGTGACGCCCGACCGGTTTTGAGGCGTCAAATGTCCAGTACGAACGGAAACCCGTTATTAAACCGGTCCTTTTTTTAGATAAAAAATACTGAACGACATTGTAAACCCAACGCGGAAATGTGCAGTGCTTTCGACTTGTGCATGTGCTGGGTAGTGAATACTATGCATATTGCATATTTATAGGGCTGACGAGGAATACCGCAATCGTATAGAAATCTCCTGGGCGAGTTGTGATCTATTCACGATCCTTGATGCTAATGCTCCCTGGACTCTGAGCTTACCCACAAAGCCGGACGCAACCCGTAGTCTGATTTGATGCGTATCGCTCTTGATTATTCGTCAAGTTGTAGCCCAGCATGATTATTTCTGGATTCCCATTCGTAATTGTATAGCACTGTATGTTGCTGAGCGTCCAGAACAGACCGTTTCAGTCTAGCAGCGGGTGTGAACAGTTGAGGCTGACCTGGGCGCGTCCACTGTGTTTTGGAATCCTGCACCTATCGCCTTACTGTGTCTGGACCCAGAGACGTTTCCTACGCCACTACTTGTTTACTTGGTCTCTCGAAGAGGTTATTGACCGCTACCCAAGACCTGACGTTAGATGTGACTCGATACCTCTTGTGACTAACCTTATGATAACAGTGACCTAGCCTAGCAACATGATCATGGACCACATGGCTTGCTGGTGAGCTAGCCCAACCAACTCATTATCAACCAAGGCAATTCAGTGGCCTGATCTAGCGACATGAACCTTTGGCCTGACAGTGGCCTGAACTAGGGATGTTACTCCGCGACCTACCTCGGTAACCAGTTCCATGACCTGACCATGTGACCTGGGCTAGGGAAGGGATACGATACGAACCATGACCTCTTTCATCGTCCTCTGTTCAGTGACTTAACCCTGTGTGACCTCACCCCGTAACCTGACCCCGTGATCTGACCCCGTGACATCACCCCGTGACCTGACCCTTTGACCCGTCTTTTCACAGCGGACCTGACGCCGACGCCGACTCGCTTCATCCGGATCGGAGAGGAGGTCGGCCTGTTTCAGGACCTGCTCAAAGCCAACCCGTTCGATGAGCAGTTCAGGAAGGCTGCGGAACAGAACAAGGCCGCCTCAGTCAGCCTCCCGCTGGTGAGAACCGCTGGTAGATGAGGGGATGGGGTTATCATATCGGTGGTGTGCTGGGGAGACAGGGTGGAAGATTACGCGATGTGTTCTGGGCGTTTGTTTACCCGCGGTCCTCTGGCTTTGGATGTCTTTAGTGAAGCCCGTGAAGGTGCTTTTTATTTTGTTTCGAGATGTTTGTCTTCTTGTGTCGAACGTATGCTGTTTTTATTCATTGCATCGCTACCAAAGTCAGGGAGATGACAGTTATCACCTTGAGACCTGATAAAGTGCTGCCGAAACTGGCGCGGAGCACTCGGAATTGGCCAGCTTTTCTACCGGTAAGCATTTTCGTTGGAAGTGAAAATGTTTGTCTGCGATCAACGCTCTCTGTTATCGTTGACTTATGCAGATTTGTAGCCTGTTTGTATACACACGCGTATTTATTGCCAACCGGCCCTGTGTCGTAGCTTCCCTGCGGCTCCGCGCTGCCGCCACCGCCATCTCTCGCCAGTGTACTGAACCTCTATCTCTCTCGGCAGCCGTTCAGTGGCGCCTGCGATGAGCCGCTCAACACTCCCCATATCGTGCACCCGGGCGAGGGCGACCACCACCCGGCTAAAGGCTCGGTCACACCGGCCGTGGAGACCCCGCAGCCGCGACTCGCCAGTCCACACAGGTAAACGGGCGGTGTTGACTCCCGGCCACGGTGTGCTCTGGGCTACGGTGTCAGGCTACGGCGTGCTTGCTCTTTGGGAAGAGATCATGTGCTGTTGTACCATGGACGATCATTTGTCGACTCTCCGTCTGCACTGAAATGTAGCGTTCAAAGTCTGGCCGTTTTAGGGTCATGGAGCTCAAATGCCGATTTTTTAAGCCGTGCTTTTATACAATTCGATGCAGGTGCCACCAATCCTCAGGACTTCAGTAGTTTCTTCAAAATATGTCCTAAAAAGTATTTTACTGAAGACTCTACCTAGGTAAGATTGCAGGGATCATTATTTATCCTCAATGTCCCTTAGGTTCTCCTGTAATTTCTGATTGCTAACTACGCCCACCAAGAGAGAACTCGATTGCCAAATTGTAACAACAACCAATGCCACTGACCGGACCTCTGGGACGCAACTTAGTTGGGCGGAACTTGTTTTGCAATTTAAAACAACGATGACACACGAGCAAGTAAATTATTTCCTTTTCTTCTGCTTGATCCACGGAAACCTCAGAGGACAGGAGGTTTGCATCAATTTCCCTGGCTATAGGTACGGAGGCGTTCCCATCGAGGAGAACTGACAATTTAAAGGCTGGGAAATTATATAGAAGATGAAATTAATCTCAATTGATGGTCGTGATGCAGTGGAATCAAGTCTTTACGGGCTTCAAAGAGGGCACAGCTCTTTTGTACGGCCAGGTGCATTTAATATCATCTGACTCAGCATTTTGAAATCTGGAATTAAAGTTTGTCATTGGCCCTCAGACTTTTGACGTCAGCGAGGGCTGAGTAATTTTCAAAAGTCTGACGCTCGTGGAAAATGAGGCAGTGCGCGGCTTCCATTGAGTTACCATATTTGTGGGAGTTGTTTCACGAGATTCAGTCGAAGTCCAAACGGAAGTCTTATATAAGCAGCACAGTGACAGTCTGTCGCCAGGTACCATTTCAGAGCGATACGAATGATTCAAATGAACGTTTATCGTTAGTGCGTATGTACATTTAATGGGCTATGACGCTGGTAGGAACATTTTTTTCTAGATTAGTCCTCACTAATGAGATGTTTGTCTTAATCAGCACTGTCATAATAACCTGCTTTAAGTTCGTAATCACCTTGAAGTTGACGCCTACCCAACTTTATAAAGCTGCTACCAGATTAGTAGTTAAGACTCAGAACATAAGGGTGAAGCATAAACCAAGCGTTCTGCGAATGTGACGCGACATTTTGGCAGGGCATATGTCTTTCACTGATATTTAACCTGCTTGAAAACCATCATAGCCTGATATGCTTAACGTATTATGCGTGATACCATCATATCCGTACGTGCCGACTGCTTTTGAATTTATCTATAGCAATCCAGAGCCCGATTCAAGTATAAAATTTGCCAATCAGATCAAATAGGTGTGGCGTGAGCAAATTGTGCGAAACTGTCCGATAGTTTGTTATTTGTGCTTACTTCCTAACTAAGGTAAAACGGGCATGGGGAATGCCTTGTCTCGTAGATAATATAATACATCATTAGTATTTTCTATATGGTAAACTGTTTCCTTTTAAATGCCTCCAGTAAACAAGTGACTGGTTTTCGCTTTCAGTGCGCCCTCACTTCTGTGTCACAGACACAGATCATTGTTGTCACTTCCCTTTGTTTTAAGGCCGCATTTAGGATTTTCTTTTTCCTGGTTCTTATAGATAAGGGATCGATGTTTCCATCAGCCTCGAAGGAAAAGCTCGCACTGAGATTGCCTCGTATTTTATTGTGTTTATGTTTTGACGTTAATGGCCTATTTTCCGCCGGGCGTAACGCTCTAAATCTCCCCAGCCGGGATGCATTGTTCCTACCGATCAGGCTGGGAGACGGAGGGTGAGCCTGTTTGTTTCCGATTGAGCGTAGCATCTAGGGCGATTTACGGGACGGGGGTGTATGAATGTGCTAGTGGAGAGAGGGATGGGGTATTCTTAGCAATTCCGATCTCTTTGCCACATGTGCTTGAATCCTATTACGTTTTCTTTTACTCAGGAAAAGTTTCCGTTATTTCATTGGATAACTCTGCTTTTAAAGGCGAACATGCCATCTTGAAACAATGCCTGGTAGGGAACCGTTAATATGAAACGTGGATTAGGTACAGCTTACTGTTGTAAGGTGTATACCATTCAGTGTGTAAATTGCCTCCTTTTGCCTCGCCACTGAGCCACTCGCCAATGACGAATACCCGTGTGTGTCTCAGACCATCTGACCGGCCCCGTTCTGCCCTCTGGTTCCTCTTACCGGACCCATACGCTGCTATGTCCCAAGTTTGGGATGTATATTGACCCTCTGACCGTCCCCACATGCCCCCGTTACCCCAGGGTGGGGAGTCCAGTAACCCTGGGTGCCCCCCCCCCCCCCTGCTGTGGTCTGTCTCTCTGCTGACCTCTCGTGTGCCCGGTGTTCCCGGACTAGACACTCCCTGACCCTCTGAGTGCACCCCTCCTCTGCCCCGCCCCTCTCTGACCGCTCGTTCTCCGTGTCCCCAGGCTGGGCAGCCCCCCGCCGGCGCACGTGGTTGTGACACCATGCAGTCCGCTGAGGGCCCGCGGCGGCGCGCCGCCGGCCCACCGCGACCCGCTCGACCCGGACGGCACCATCGGCATCGATGATGACGTGAGTACTGAGTTCTGCGTTAGACGCGGTGAACCCACCCTCTCCTCTATACGAAGGTACCGACCGCGTACCCGCCCCTTCCCCTAGACGTGTGTGCCGCGGCGCACGGTACCCCCCAGGCGTGTGACTGTGTGGATGCCTTGGTGGACGGGGCACCCATCCCCTCCCCTGTATTTACATCGTGCAATCGGTCCATGAACACATGGCTATTATGATTGACATGTCATCAAAACGGAACATCGGGATTCAGTTGCACAACTAACACACTTATTCACGCACACACACTCAGCTCACATCACATTTGTACCCTGGCGTAGGTATGTACCGCAGTGAATTGTGCACTCAACCCTCACCTTTTTATAACTAACACCCGCCCTTTCTGCATATTCAGCACCCAAATAAATGCTGCTGCTCCCAGCGCACCAAACAATTGACATTCCAGCACGTGGCTCCAGTTGGAAGACAAATGGACTGAAGTGAGATCACATTATCCCCACTTTGATCAGGATTCCGCCTTCACTTTGAATTTGGAGGCTCAGGTGCTCACGGTATTCTGAAAATGGTTCAGTTTGCAGGAGAGTGCTTTTGATGTATGGATGCATGCATAATCCAATGAGCTTGCTTGCCTTATTTCATATCCATTTTCCATGGAACACTCCTCTTGTTGATGTTTGATATCCAACTTTGCGCCGAATTCATTAATATTTCTTCTTAGCCGATCAATCGCTGATATTAATAACTAACTTATGATATATTATACCCGCATTCTTATCTTTTATTTAGATCATTTCTCTCTCCCCTTTCTATCTTCGCTGACATTTTCCCTCGCTCCGTGTCGCCGCCTCCTCCTCCCGGCCCGTGTCCGGCGCTCGTTTATCCCACCTCCTCCAGTCCCGTCGGCAGCAGGTGCCGCGTCGGCTGGGGTGGTTCACACCAGATCTCTGCCGCCGTCTGCTTATAACCGCTCTGCCATTAATAAGACGCATGGGACCCATGCATAAACGTTGGCCGGGCCGTGCCGAGCACAATCTCTTTTTGACTTCTCGGGATGGAGGCGACGGCTGAATGAATTGCATCTGGTGATTTATTGTTCGGTGATGGTATTGGTCTGAGGATAATCCTGGTTAGATGGAACACTGGGGTACCTTGCATAAAGCTTTTATAATTTGTCACTCCGTGGTTTGCCACAGCGTGCAACAGCTATATCATTTTTTACTCATTATATTATACTCAATATTATTCGGTCAATATATAGTTTCTTCGTAATATAGGAAAGTTATAGTACATACTGTCGGTATGTGCGTTCGCCGTGGACATTTCTGCCCGCCATCCTGCCCACCGACATGCCTGAGAAAGCAATCGATGGAATGAGCCTCGCGAACCCATCGGCTGCGTGACCATTCGTTATTAGCTGAAGCTAATCCACTATCGGCGTTGCGCTTTTTTACACGAGAGAAAACAGAGTCATTCCTACATCGCTGATAAACGATCATCTGACCTGACCTATAATAGCAGACCTACTGAATGCTAAACAAGTTTGAGAGGTGAATCCCATGGATTGATCGATAAGAAGCTCCTTGAATAAGGAGACGTTTTAACATGTCAGCTGAGTTAATCGGACAGAATAGACCAGACTGAGCTGAATGTCCGGGACAGGCTCCATGTGCGCTCGCTCGTCGGATCTTCTCTCTCGTCACCGCGCGGTGTCCTGTGTATGCCGATGATTCTCCTGTCGTTAACCGGTATCGGCGGGTGGCTGCACCCTCTGACATTTGGTAACAGTATGCTCTGTACACGGAAATTGGCCGGGCAGCCCGCTACCCCGCTCAGCTGCTATCGGGACCGATTGCACCCTTCAGACCTGTGAGCTCGGGCCGATAACCGAATTTGGAACAGAGCGGACAGGGCTCGGCTGGTGGTAGACAGATGAAACGAGGATTCACTTAAATATTGCATGAACGGTATTGATGAAGAATGCGGATCGTTGAAATTTAAAAAAAGGAAACGCCGTACTCGATGCGGAACTAATTCAATACAGTAGGTACCTAACTGTCCTATCCATAATTCTACACGAGATCGCCCTCATACTAGGCACAGCATCATGCTTAAGGCGAATTGGCACCATTAAGTAACTCATAGTTTCTTTGTTCATTCTGAGCCGTCTTTTCATTGTGGCTCCGGCTCCAGCGTCAGTTTACATCTTGGCACCGTGCTATTTTGAGCTGACACTGAGCAGAGTGCCAACTGTCAGAGGAGAACTAATGAACAGTCGTTTAAAAAAGGAACGAACCAGAGTTGCGAAAGAAGCTTTTAGCTAATACGCTGGATTGGCTGGTATTCGTTTATCACTGCGGATGTGTTCTGTAATATGGTTAAGGCTCACTAATGTCCGCAGCAGCTGGCTCCCTTTCCCGGAGTTTGTTTGCCACATTTTTTTTTCTTGGTTTGTTTTCGTTGTTCGCAGTACCGTCTGTGTCTTAACGTGCTTTCTGTCAGTTTTCTTCATTTAGTGATTCAGTGAAAATGCAATCACTTTTTGTGATGCTTGTATATCGGAAACAATGAAGTGTTCTGTTTACCGTCTCAAATAATCGTTCTCAGACCGGTGGCTTGCTCAATTATTTGCTTCTCTCCAGCGCTATGTATTTACACTGCTGTTATCTCGTCTGATTTTGATGCAGTTATCATAATTGTGTTGATAATATTCAAAGGGACTGTTTCATACACAGAGTCCTTTGAAAATATATGCATACACACAAGTAGCTTCTGCATATTGATGCGTACGACTATGAACGCCAGGTGTACTTGCCATCGTGGATACCATCGTATATACCGTCGCGCATACGGTTTTGGCCTCCTTTTAGACCGCCGTATGTACCGCTCTGACCTCCGTACGTACCGCCGTGTGTACCGCCATGTGTACCACTCCAACCGCATTTCTCGCCGTACCTTTGTACCGCCATGAGCACCACTTTGACCTCTGTATCACCGCTGTGTGTACCGCCATGTGTACCGTTCTGACCCCATATCTCCCACCGTTCCCAGATGGAGGTGGAGGGCCCGCTGGACATGCGCTCACCCTCCGTGATCCCGCCCGTCTCCGAGACTCTCATCTCTCCACCTGTGATCCACACGCCCGGGTCACTGTCGTCACCGCCGGTACTGCACGCGCCGGGGTCACTGGCGGCGTCACTGCAGGGCTCACCGGCCGGCTCACTGGCCGCGTCACTGGGTTCACCGCACTCGGTCCAGGCGCCGGGCAGCAGCGGCGTCGGATCTCCGCCGGCCGGTCACACGCCCACCACCCTGTGAGTATGGAAATATAGCCGTGTTTCACGTTGTGAGTATGGAAAACGGAGCCGTGGGCCCGCAACGCTGTTGGTATGGAGGTCGAGCCATAGGCCAAGCATGCTGTGGGTAAAGGAAGCTGACCCATGTGCCCACCATGTTGTGGGTATCATTATTTGAAATAAACACGAAACACCGATTTAATTCATGAATGATGAATACTGTTTGAAATATCTGTAAATGATGGTAGGCATCCATCCATGAAATCCATGATTGGCATGCCATTGACATGATATGCCCCGCCATGCTGCGAGTACTAAGTATTTGGGCCATACACAGCTACGCTGATGAGTATGGTGTGTCGGTGAATGAATATGGTGTGTCCCCATGCGACCACCACGCTGTGAGCATTATAGGGAGTCAAACCACATTTCAAGCCATACTTCAAGTGGTATACCTGCAACGCTTTAGGCATTTTGAGCTGAAGCTCACGTCCCGCCGCACTGTGAGCAGATGAGACATACACTGTGCGTACGAGGGACCTGAAACGGTAGCCTGTGATATATGGGACAGGTAGACAGGCAGTAAGCCGCGAATAATTTAATTTGTGGCCAAACTTTTCCTTGCGGTCGTGCCGCGCACGGTTCCAGAACTGGGCCTATTCCGGGAAGCAGAGCGCTTCTTCCAATTGGCTTGCGCCGGCCCCCCCGTAACCCCCCCTGCCGGCTCCCCGGGGCCTCAGTCTGCCCGGGATATCCTGGCCGATCTGGGAAGCGAGGTCGCGGCGCAGCGGAACAATGTCTCACGGGATGTGTCTTCATTAGCCTGATCCATGTCGAATCCAGCAGAGCTGCGGTAAAGTCCAGACATTATCAGATTCATCAGAGCATCGCGCAGGACTGGTTCTGGCAACTATTTGTTCCGCTGTTATTAAGATACGATCTTAGGGAGCCACTTAGATGTGGTATGATTTGACCAACTGCTGGGTACGGAAGATTTTGATTTAGATAATGCTGACCGCCAATGAAAATGTGGCCCCAGAATTGGAGTAATTGGACGTTTTTGTAATTTGTAAGCAATAAACGTGTGGAATTTTTCCATATCCAATAGCTTTTATTGCGTGCTTGTAGCTGCTTAGATTTCCTTGCACTTCCATAAAACTCCGAGACAAGCATACCGTTGAGACTGCATCTTTGCTGTCAAGACGATTTTCCTTATTTCGGCCCTGAATATTTGTTTGCCACCTTTTTGATGCGTTCTTATTGCTCTGGAGCTTACTCTTTAATCTCGACTCGGCACGTCCCATCGGGTTGAGAGTTTGACGGTAAGAAGCTTAGCTGGAATCGATGGAAGAGGTGAATAGATTCGCTGAAGGACGAACGTTCAGGCAGTAGGATTCGCTGAACGGCAACATTCGGAGACTGGGCTGGGGCGAGGGAAATGGCTGACCTCACGGCTTGGCCATTAGCAAACCATGTCGTATGTCAGTAGAAGTACTTTTTTCCGACAGGCTTACTGACGCCACGACCTTTTTTACCGTTGATATGCAGGATGCCAAAAAAGGACTCCCTCTGAGGCATATTTTGTAGCGTGATTTTTTTTCCTGCGAGTGAATCAATAGAAAAAGTGGCAAGTGAGAAGAGCATACATATAAATATTCTGAGATATCTGACGACCCTATGGATACGACTTTTCTGTTGGGTTTAGAGGATGGATGGTGCTTGTAAAACCGACAGGAGTCCGGCACTCCTTTCAGGGTCAGGGTTTGAACGTCCGACATGAGGCATCCGTCATAAAACAGCCGGCATCGGACCGACCTTAGAGTGCGCTCGTATTCAGCTTTCACTCCTTTGACTGCTTATGCGGGAATAGCTGAGCCTTTTGATTCAATGTGAAGTTTGGATGTTATATAAACGAAAGTTCCGCTCTGTTTCATTATCCTAATAGGCCTAGCCGAATTTTCTGTGAAATTCTTGCAAAATGAACATTAAGTCGTTAAGGTTTTATCTACATACTAACATTTTTCGGCGCTTTCATGGCCCTCAGATGTGTGTATTTCACTTCGCTACTGCAGTTTCCTCAATGATACAATTTTTACTGCCGTCGGTCGACGAGTCCCAACGCGTCCTAATGACAAGTTAACTTGTGTGCATTTCATCTCGGTCTTGCAATACCCATGCATCAACTTACTGACGTGTTAGAGATATATGTACTGCGATAACGTACTAATTCATGAGGATGACACTAAAGTATCAAATATGCGCTGTATAACTCAAATAAAAGCATAAGTCCCTCATCTTTCATTCATGCATGCATAATTGCATAACGCATGCATCATGCGTACTTTCAGCTGGCTCAGTCATAAGGTTACTGTAGTTTCTAATTATCACTCAATGTTATCAATCAAAGGTGAATGCACTGTAGGTCTTGGGGGAAGGAACGAACCGCGCACCATCTAAGTATAGGGCGGCATCCAGCTGACTATCCAGTATCCAACCTGTCCTTCCCCGCTTCAGTGGCGGATTCAGTCAACTTACTAATTACAAATTAACCTCGCACGGGAGAGCAGGAACGGGGAACATTCTGAAAGCACCATCTGTCCTTAGGACATCGACGGGTGTCACAACGCCTTACCGGCGGCTACGGGGGCGTCTCTCAGGTAAAGAATACCAGCCTGAAGTGGCGAGCTCTCGGATGTGGCTCACAGTCGTGTCGTATTATCGCCGCCTCTAATTGGACTCGGTGCCGGCCGGTGACCTTTCCACGGTAACTTGGCGCGCCCCTCGACACAGATATGAGCCGACGACGGAAATGAACCGCAGAGCAGCGTTTTGTCGTCAGCCGAGTCTCATATCAGGGATCATCACTGTATCCAGGTGTCATTTCGTATTAATATGCCGTGTCACTTTCCAGTCGGAAGAGACCCTCGTGCTTACACAATAGGTATGCAATACGCATGGCCTCTCAGGCCACTGGAATAGCGCTCGACTAAATGTCAGAGGAGATCGATCTGTGCCTCATTGTTCTTCCTTTCTCATACTCTGAGCTCTCGTTTCTTCCTTCTTGTTTCTTGCTTTCCCCCTATATCCTCTCTCTCTCTCTCTCTCTCTCTCTCTCTCTCTCTCTCTCTCTCTCTCTCTCTCTCTCTCTCTCTCTCTCTCTCTCTCTCTCTCTCTCTCTCTCTCTGTCTCTGTCTCTGTCTCTGTCTCTGTCTCTGTCTCTGTCTCTGTCTCTGTCTCTGTCTCTGTCTCTGTCTCTGTCTCTGTCTCTGTCTCTGTCTCTGTCTCTGTCTCTGTCTCTGTCTCTGTCTCTCTCTCTCTCTCTCTCTCTCTCTCTCTCTCTCTCTCTCTCTCTCTCTCTCTCTCTCTCTCTCTCTCTCTCTCTCTCTCTCTCTCTGTCTCTCTGTCTCTGTCTCTGTCTCTGTCTCTGTCTCTCTCTCTCTCTCTCTGTGTCTCTCTGTCTCTCTCTGTCTCTCTCTGTCTCTCTCTGTCTCTCTGTCTCTCTGTCTCTCTGTCTCTCTGTCTCTCTCTCTGTCTCTCTGTCTCTGTCTCTCTCTCTGTCTCTCTCTCTCTCTCTCTCTCTCTCTCTCTCTCTCTCTCTCTCTCTCTCTCTCTCTCTCTCTCTCTCTCTCCCTCCCTCTTCCCTCTCTCTCTCCCCCTCTCTCTCTCTCGTTCTCTCTTTCTTTCTTGTTAGTGTTGCCCGTCTCTTCATTTGCCCGTTTGTCTGTTTCTCTCCCTCTCTATTTATATTTCCCCGTGCTGTAGCCGCATCCACCGCTGTGACATTTCATTGTGACCATAGTATGTGACCCTGAACATTGTGACCCCGTACAGCGATGGATATGTGTTTCGGCCGCCCTGTAATCCACAACTAAAAGAGGAAATAAAAGAAATATCGCTTGACACTGTTCACCCTGTCCATGTTCACAGGCAATCATCGGCAGTGAGCTCCACTGTGGCCATCCCGCGGCACCATCAGCTGGCCGTGCCGCCGCCGCTCCGTCCACGGCTCGTCTCCTCTGGAGCCGGGCCCGTCCAGATGTCCACCGCCCTGCCGATCGTACACAGCGGCGCACACTCGGCGGCCATCGCCGGGTCGCTGGCCAACTCACTCGCCGGGAGCCACGCGGCTACGTACTCGGCGGCTCACTCCGTGGCTCACTCGGCTCACTCCGGGATGTTGCCAGTGGCTCACTCGCACTCACTCCACCCTGGGATGCACTCTGGGATGCTCTCCGGTGCGCTGCAGGGCTCTCTACCGGCGGCGCACCAGGCTTCCTCCCAGCCGGCCGGCCCACCGCCGCATCCGACTGCCTCCCTGGCCGAGCACTCGGCACTGTCGTCAGAAGCAGTCGAGTTCCAGATCAAGCTGTCGGATGGTCAGGTGATGCCCCTGTCCATGCACTCCGAGGCGGCGGCGGCGGCGGCGGCAGCGGCGGGGGCGGGGGCGGCCAGGATGCCCGGCAGACTGACCACGCCGCCGGCAGTGACCGCTGTAGGCGGAGTGGTTGCCAGTGAAATGGCGGCAGCAACTGACACGGTCAGGGAGGTATGTTGGATGCACGCCGATAGAGTAGCTGGTTTAGTTAGAGACGTAATTAGATGTCTTTGAGGCTTAGCACACCCCCGTTTTGTTGAACTGTTTGGAAGGTGTGCTCTGCTGGATGAACGCAAAATTACTCTTTTTACATCTCGCTTTGAAATAAGTAATTAGCTCTCAGGGCCCTGTTTAAGGAATTTGAAATTAATTTCGCCAGTTTGATTCGCCTTCATCTTAAATTTCCTGCTTTTTTTTCGGTACACCAAAGCCATATAACGAACCCGCTATGACTAGCTGATCGATTTTTCATCGGATCTTAAGTAGGTACGCACATAACCTTGTCCCTTACCCCATTCCCGTCTCTCGCTGGCTCGCGAACAAAGTTCCCTTTCATCTCCTTGACTGTAATTACATTCCCGCTGTTTAACTTTTCCTGTAACTTTGTCGGACCTTTCGTCTCACCTTTCTATTATTTATCCATTGCGAGATGCCGCGTAGTAACTCAAGAAGCATAACGACCACCTTGTTCTATTCATCCGAGCCGCGTAGTACGTCCCAGATTGAAAGTTCATTGACAACTGTCCCGATCAGCACTTTGTCCGGCACTCTCATTAGGTGTCTATTGAAGTCCGGGTTATTGTGTCCCGTAGGGTCGTAGTAGCCGCTAGGGCAGTAGACGTTGGACGCGGTTTACTGAGCTCAATCAATATCCCCGAACCTGAATGCCTTATCCCCAAACTTGGATTCCCGAGAGACATGAGTGAGTTAGCTGCAGCGTACACAAGCTGATACCAACATACGGTGTCTAAATAGTGACTGTCTCGTGTTTGGGGATCGCCGTAATGACTACGGAGGCCATTACGAGTAGAACTTTCGCTTTTGTTGCATGCCACACGTTTGTTCCCTTGCATGAAATCATATTTTCTTCGTGTTTTTTTTTTTTAACGTTATTTGTCGTTGGGTGCAGATACAATGTGGTAATTTTAATGAAATCGTGACACAAGAGCTCATCTCCCTGAAAGAAGACATAAACTGGGTAGGGTATGGTAATTTCAAAGTAACATTTGCGAGTAAGATAAGTATTGCAAAATTGAAGTGATGAGTGATCATCAATGGGTTCCCCCGCCGCTGCTGCCGTCCGCCGCCGAGACAATGCCTTGTAAATGCATGTACAATGTACATATGAGAATTGTGGGAGTGAGCTGCGTAGTTGGTATGTTTATTTGGTAGTGCTAACGTCATGATACAGAATATTGTGAATCGTACGAAATTTTTAAAGTGATATTCGAATGCGAGAATTGCCCAACTCAGGCTAGGCATATCTGCATTTCTCCCACTAAAAGCTGCTATTTTGTTTTAACCCTCGTTCATTCTAACTGCTCTTTTTTCTGTGTTTCTCTATTTTTGCTTGTTCTTTTTTGTTGGCACTAGCGAACGGTGCGGACCGAAATGGACTTGTGACGAAGACTGGCTTCGTACGCTTCGCCGCACCGCGATCTCGTTACTTCCCGATTGAACTGTTGGCAACTTGTTTTACTCCCGAACAGCGACGAGGTCGAACCGACTGAGGCAGCGGAGAGCGCCGTCCCTGCCAGCGGAGCTCTATCCCTCGGCTCAACTTCCTAAGCCTTTCGTGCGGTAATTTGGCGACTTCTCACTCACACTACGCACGCTAAGACTGCGGCGTGATGGCTGATTTGCTCCTCCACAGATTGCCTTCAACCAAATGAGCGCTTAGCGGTACCTAGTGACTTCTCAAATTTCGAGTTAAGGGGGACCTTTTTGACTTGAAGCCCAGTTTGTCGTTTCCTTTCGGACGCTTTTAGTAAGTGTGCTTCAGTCAGCCGTTGCCAGCATTTACCGATACGCAGATAGTTGTTATGCATATCACGACTCGACAATCCAATTTGGCTGACGTGTTGAATTGACAATGATCGCTCGTTGTCCGTGCTACGTAATGGGTTTTACGACTCCCTAATGCTCTTCATTCTAATACTCAGGTGGTGCCCGGGCGGGGCTGGTGGTGAAATATGGCGGGGTCACTGCGCTTAATTGCCATTAGCGTGAAGATAATGTCCTGGCCGTTAGTTAATAAGCTAGGTGTCATTCTCACGTGGCCTCTCAGAGGCCGTGATATTTTATTGCCCCCCGACCGCGCTGACCTATGGGAAATGAAGGGCATCTTTCCCGGATCTTCTGCGGTTGTCGGTTGCAATAAATATGAAATTGTATACCAAACGTAAGGGCGACATAGCTGGCCGCATACGCGCTGCGCAATATGAGAAATGTCAGCTTGCAATAAATGACCACTATGTGCGTGGCGCGGTCAGTCTGACAAATTAAATAATGCAATGCGGTTTGACCATCATTTTGAGAAAGCTGCGACGAGTATTTTGGTATTCAAAAGTGGGTATTTGCGCCAATGAAATTAACTTTAATGCAACGTTTACATTGAGCATGCACTGCTATAAAACCACTGTTCCGGTTCGCACTAAAAATTTTAGGCTTGAAATACATATAGCAGCTCGTTTTTACAGTTTCAGGTTGGGATTAGGTCCATGAGGTTAAACGCAAACCAACGTTATTGCTTAGTAAATCATTCTAATCAATCTCAATATAAACATGCCTAAATTGCTGTAGGCTGTTGTCTTTCCTTCCATCGATTGACTAATGACTTGCGACACGATACAATGCCATGCTTTACAAGCTGCTGGTGTGCGGTTCAGCGTTTCCCGACGCAGATGGATTTCAAGAAAGTTGCACGGTGGTAGCACACATGTTGGCTGCTCTGGTGATATCTAATAACGAACAGAACAGACACGGATAGCCGGCGGGCTGGGCGGCTCCTGTGTCTCCGATGGCCATAATGAGCCCATAAATAGTCTCCACGCTGGCGCCCCGGTGCGCCGGAGGTGTGCCATCAGCATTCGGTGCACGTGACCCGCGCCGGCACAGGGGAGCACCCTTCCGAGAACGGGGCGCGGAGCCGACTCAGCCGCGCCGCATCCATATGTCGGATTCAATATTGAGTGGAAACTTTGAGAGATCTCAGGCTGCCAGTCGCGGCTGAAAGCCAGGCTCGCTGTCGCAGTTCGTATTTGTCAAACAGTGCGCCGCTGCGGATGGCATTTCTCGCCGGTGATCTGCGCGCTCTGATAGATGATCATACCGGCCGGAGTGACTGCCCAGCCGCCAGCCATTTCGGGCAAATCGCTGGCGTGTGTCGAGTTGGAAAGACTGCAGCGCGGCTAGCAGGGCTGTCAGTGTAGGTGAACAGCGGCTTTTCCAATATTGTAACGCGCAGAATACAAAGAAGGCTATGAATTTAAAAGCAAAGTTCTCATATGCCACACTCGACATGTTCCCAGATGTTTTATAACATTATTTGTTCCCCATCGCAATGTACAAGCTGCATGCGGGTCACCACATAACATTCGTTTAGTTCCACTCGTAGATCCCTGTCCGCTGTATTTCTCTCCATCTTACCCTGAAGTTCCAAATGCGCTGAGGTATTTGGTAATCGCTCTTCCCTCGCTGGAGTAAAGTTATTCGTTCCTCGCTTTACGGTCGGTATTTCGGGTCCAAGTAATGTTTCCCACCTCCCCGCACGACCCATGTCGGAGCAGTTTCTTGACCTTCCGACCGTGTTCTCTCCCCGACAGCGTCTAAGGCGGAGTCTGCAGCGTCAGGAGCGGCCTCCCGCACCGGTGCCGACCCCAACCAGCCAGCCGTCCCCGTCTGACGTCCTACCGCCGGCTCCGACACCGCGCACATCACAGTCGGAGGACAGCCTGAGGAAGGAGCGAAACAGGTGGGTGCTGCGCGGCTGACCGTCTGTCTCTGTCTGTCTTGTTCATGAGTACCCCTGTCAGCCTGGCAATGGGACATTTGTTCAGTGTATCCGTACGTCAGTCTGTACACACGTCCGTCTGTCGGTCAGCTCATCCATTCGTTCGTCCGCCCGTCTGACCTTGGGTCAGTCCGTCCGTCCGCCCGCCCGCCCGTCCATCAATATGTCAATCCATCTGCCTTCGAAGAGATGAAGCTGCGATGATTTATTCACGCTAAGTGCTGATGAAAGCTACCACGAAAGTTGATGATTGAAGCATCTCCAGCTGACCTTTCCTGGACCTGGTGATATACTGTCTTCGGTGATGAATAGGACGCTGCAATATGACAAAGTTTGACAAAGTCGGTTTTTTTACCAAATATTTGAACGGAACTTTTGCGTCGAGCGTGGCGAATGAGCCTTGGATGTATGGGCCTAGTGATACGAGGTCGTCTATGATGATTAGGACGCTGCAATATGACTTAGCTTTACAAAGTTGGTGCCGATTTTTTTTAAACCAAATATTTGAAAGGGAATGATTTATCAAGCGTGGTGGCGAGTGACCCTTCCTTCCGGTCAGTGAATACCATTTTACCATTTTACTATTTCTGATGATGCGTGGACATGATATGTTTTAGACGGTTTCTGAGGATTATTGCTTTGGCAAAATGAATCAATGTAAATGGTGCGATTCCACCGAAAATCAATTCCTTTTCCTCGTCACTAGACACTGGTTATCCTTGACATAAAATCATAACAGCCGTTGGTTCTTTTGCACTTATCCCTCCGCCCCGCCCCACACGCCGTTTGTCCCGCGGCTGAATGGAAGGCTTTCCAGCCATGCCACTTCTCGTTAATTAAAGCGCGCCGCTGAAGTGACTTCAAAATTACTACCTTATCAAGTTAGATAAAGGCAGTATGCGCTCCTGGCTGATGATGGGGCGAGGTTGTGATGCTTGTGCGAGTACACAGAAGTGTTGCTTGGCGTTCTGTTGGGATCTGGTAGCATATTGTTTCTTGTAGTCACTGCTTTGATCCATAACACATTAAGGGCAGCTCTACTGTGGAGCTACTACTACTGCTACCTTAGAGCGAAAAAAACGACAAGCATGAAAAGCTGGCGGGCATCGTGAAGCCAGTTCTCGATACTCGCCTTTCGTGTAACTAGTTATCACTTTTTCTAGTTCCACATCAGTGATTGTGCGTCACATGTGCAGTGTAATGAGACCCCACCTTTTGAACGCGCCGCACTCTCTTCGATTCATCGCCGTCGGGGGGGGGAGGGGGACAATTCGAGCAGCCAATCAGCCTCCTGTATTTGACTTCTGTCGGAATGTTCGCTGCTCTGCACCGGCGGAATATTGGCTCCGGTAGTCACACCGCTCCCAGCTGTGTGACCATGCATGTTATATTGGACCGGCACAATATTGACAGACCGGTGGACCGATGGAAGGTTTTTGTTTTCCGGTCGCGCGGCTCATATTGGTTGAGTGGGGTCGTGGTTGTTGAATTGTGGTTTGATGTATTTTGCTGTGCCTTACGCAAAGGTGAAATGAGATTGCATGTTTTTACGTGGTCTTTGATATTGTTTTCGTAGTAGGGGAGACCCGGGAGGTATGGGCCATCGCAGTTTTGAAGAAGTGTTGCGTGTTTTTACACATTTGACCGCGTAAACTGGTAGCAGCCATTCCGTTATACAACCCACGTGATTTTCAAAATCTTCCTCAGTCTTCTTTGGCAATGAGCGGTGATAAAGCGTTTTTGCCCTCTTCGAGTAAAATACTGTACATACAGAAAATTCATGATAAATTTGAACCAGGCTCGTTTTATGATGTCAGTCCAATGCTAGCATTAAGTTTACAGCATGCCAATTAAGGCTGGATAGACAATTTGAAGCTTTCTTGCAAGATTATGAGCTGAGATGCTACGCAAATTCTGGCGTCCTAACCGGGGGGTTCGGGCCACCCACCCCTGTTGATCCTAAATTAATAAAAAGATGCTTACATTGAGTGTCATCTTCAATAAGTTTTATTTTTGTCGCGCAAGGTTGAAAATTCAGCTTCAAGTTTCATTCGAACAGGAAAATATTATATATTTTATTTCATGGTGCATGATTGAGTTTACCAAAATACATATGTGCCCAAGTGACCTCCATGAAGTAAGCTGTTCGCCGCTTATGCGGTTCCTGGGCTCTAAGAGAGATCAAGGTAGATACCAGCTACGAGTATTGTTCTCATTGTCGAGAAAAGGATATGAAACATATCACCGGCCCATACCTCCCGGGCCATGGCCCATACCTCCCGGTGTATTTTGATGGATCGAAAAAGTGCATGATTTATTAAAAGTTATCTCGAGACAAAATAGTTGATCCCAGATGCCTAATATCAGGCACACTTTGTAGGCGAAAGGCAATTTCACGTGCACAGAGTGAAAAACCGGGTGTAGCCACTGCCCACTTGAAGAAAATTGCCTTTTCACAAAACCGGCCCATACCTCCCGAGTCTCCCCTATGTATCTGAAGCTTAAATGCATTCGCTTCGTGGGTTTGACTTTATTACTTTGTTATAGATGGTTATAATAGGTATGGCGCGTTAGCTTTTTCTGTCTCCTTTTAATGGGCAGTCGATTATTAAAATTGCTTTCCTGGGCCCCGACCATTACTCAGTTGGGTAATTCATTTGGATGAAAATGATGGCTGACTGGTTTTCCATTCCTCTATTGTATCATTGCCCGACTCAGCTGCCGACTGGGTCGTCGCGTGTTGCCGTGTGCCTAGTCGTTACCCGCTGCCGTTTTGCCAAAATGGAGTTATTGCTTTGATGGCTCGTTCCAATTGCACAAACTGCCTCCTAGCATTTGCTATTGAGCGGAACTGTTTGGATCGTTTAGACCAATTAGCGATCAATCAGCTTGGGAGGACTCACTGCTGTGCTTTGGTTCATATTGACTGCTGAGCGAGGGAGGCACTGGTGGTTTGTTTATGACAACTGGGTCGTAAAAATCGTTGCCTTTACCACTCGCTCTTGGTTAAAGCAAGTATCTAAAACAGCGGATTAAGTACAACGCGTGGATCTTGCTCTATTACATTTCTCATTTCGATGATAGGCAAATATTTGCACCTTGCTAAATTTAAAGGTTATTGTACGAGCTCAGTGAGGTAAGAAAATAATTAAAAGCACAACTCGTATCCGCTAAGCATGCTGGTGCTCGTCCTACTGTCTTCGTAAGTATGCGTTTCTGTCAACGGGTCACGTTTTTCTTTGTTTCTTGTCAGTGATATTGCTGGAATGAGTCCAACAGCTGATGTGACGTAAACTCGGTTATTTTTGGGATCCGTTGGTAGGCACTTCGACCTTGACCTTTTCCATCGGCCGCCCGGCGGTGCTAGATGAGGGGACCGTCTTCACACTGTCCTTTATAGCAAAGGCCCACTTCATCCGTCAGTCAACTACAGCTCAGAGATAGGCCACAGCCGCTCGTCCATCCCTGGCGGCCGCGTCTTGTCGTAGGGATATATTTCATTATTTTGGCACCTCCTTCGTCTAGAGTGAGTTGGTGTGATGAGTGTAAATGCCCCGGCTCGCTTTTAAAGCATTTTGTCAGTTTGTTTTTATAACATTTCATCGGTGCTGTTCCGTACTGGACCTTGCCTTGCTCGCTGAAGGCAGCACATCTCGTTTAGGTTGTATGAGATGTAACACCTCATATGCGGTATTTAGGAGGCTTCTAAGGGCTTATCGAGTACCCTCAACTTTAGATTGTTCCATACCGCCCCACCGACTCTCCACGCTCTGCTGCAAAATCAGCGTCACACGTGCCACCGCCGGGCCCTCGGCTGACCTTAGTCAGCTTATCGAGGCCCTGCCTGACAATCAGCTCGCGAGGCGGGCCGCAGCGCGGAGACGGGCAGGTCACTCTGGGACCCTCCTCCCGGGGGAGAAAGCTGCAGCTCTGGGCTAGGGTGCTGGCGGTAGCTTCTGAGAGTGGCTGGCCGCAGTTCTATGCGTGCAGTAACCGGTCCGGCCTATCGGCGCCCGCCGCGCTATCCAGCTGGGCTACTGCCGGCCGTATATTGCGGCCGACCCATTACACCGAACCCGGCGGCGCCGTGGAGTCGGCCGACGGTGTGCCGGAGAGGTCAGCCCGAGCCATGGCCGCGCCGGCGGCTCGGCTACCCTAGAGCGCCGCTGGAACCTTTATTAGCGCTGGGGAGAGGGCCGTTCGTTCTAAGGCGGCTTATCGTTCGCGCTCAGGCTGCGTCGAGCGCGGTTTTGTTGCCCAGTCCGTACTCGCTGGAACTAGAGACTAGTTTTACTACAGTCATCCACGGGTTGGGGCCGTTCGGTCGGAGCCCGGGCTCGTGTTGCCTATACGCTCCTGACACTCCCCCCCCCCCCCCGCCCCGCCCTGAACGGTACTACTGGCACGCCAAGCACGACCCCAGCCCAGGGCGGCGCGTCTGTAACGCCGCCGTCACCGGGCCAGCGTCGGCCCGTCGCAGTCGACGCGTGTTTATCACTCATCCGCGAGCCTCGCCAGGTCGGCCCGCCGCCGCCGCCGCCGTGGCTGGGCCGGCCGAGGGAGCAGCTGGCCGCCAGCTTTATCTAATCTGGGCGATGGGCAAACAGAGAGCCCCGCGGCAGCGGCGGTGGTGTGGTCGTCAGGGTATTGGGGCGATTAGTAGGGCGACCTTGCATTTGTTGTGGTCGTGTGTATGCGCGTCTACGTGCGTGACGGTGGGGGCTAGACGAAATTGCTCACCAGCTGTGTTGGCTTTATTATGTTGCTAGCAAGGTACTACGCATGAGCGTCATTTTGCGGGGAGCAGTTCAGACTCGTAAAGATCTAGGCGCCGAAAATCACTGGACGGCGTCTTATATCAATTTGCTAAAATTATCCTGAACAAAGTATTAATTAGAACTGCCTCAGTTTAATTAAAAAACAACAAAAACATATTTACCAACGGGGACGGAAATTCCTGA